TAGACAGACAGACAGACAGACAGACAGACAGACAGACAGACAGACAGACAGACAGACAGACAGACAGAGAAGCGGGTAATGGGTAGCCATTTCATCGTTGGCCTGCTCTACAATATCACTCCCTCTCCGAACGCCAATGTACACAGCTCTGCCTTCCAGTCCTCCGGTACGCCCTAGGAGCCTAAGTGTTTACTCTGCCTAGAAAATAGGACTGTTCCAATCAATGCGATATCGAAAAGTTTTGCTCATTACACAAGCCAATCAGCATAGATCCGTAGTCAGAATCGATATTTGGGGTGTGCCAGAAAGAAAAACATGAATCTTGGGGAACCCTGAAAAGAGGGAACATGAGAGGTAGTGAAAGTGTTAGTAATTGATAGAAATGAGACAGGAAAAGATTGGGAGGGAGGAAAAGCAGAAGGCAGATAAAAATTTATAGAAGGGTGGGAGGAAACGTGAAAAAAGAGTTGAAGAGAGATAAGAATCGTAGAAGGGTGGGGGGGGGGAGGAGAAAAAGCATTTTTCGACCGTTTCGTACCTTTCAAAAGTTCTCTGATGCCGCTGAAACCTCTTATTAGATCGATCTTGATAAACAAACTGTTTCCCCTGATCCGAAAGCCTATAGTTAGCTTTACGAACTTTCCTCAAACATTGGGCATCGAATTAACCTTGTACAGCTGTGGTGACGTAGCACAGACCGAGCCAGGAAGATCTTCTCCTATAGCCCTCTTTTTTCATTCCCGCTTTCACCCTCTTTTAGGTGCCAATCCACTCAATGGTCTGCCGCGAGATTTATGTACTATCTGACGGTCTACCGCCCACGTGACCAGTGTGACAAACAGTTTTATTTGACGGTGTACTAGTCTACCACAATCCACGGCTCTAATCCTAAACCTGTCCCGTTAGGGTTAAGGTATGGATGCCCTCGGCCGTGAATATTCAAAGACCAGGTTCGCATTATACTATTCTAGAGTTCTAGGGGAATCGAAAATGGCTAAGTCTTGGCGCTAATTCGAGTCAGATTTGGATATCCCAAAAACCTTTGAGGAATCCAAATAGCAAGCCGTGGGAACGTTTGCTTTGAACCACTTTCAGAGAAGAGTATTGTCTGGGGTGTTGGAATACTCGTAAAGGACTTGGATTGGCGATATTTAACTTTCCCCGCCTGAGCTGTTATCGAGATAAGTGGTATCTTTACACTTTGTGACCAAAACGACAGCATAACCTCAACTGTCCACGCCCCAAAACTCAAAAACCTGAAAACACTAGTCTTAGGCTTCATTTTCCGTAGATACCGTATTGCAGCCAGGAGAAAAGTTATGTCGTGCTTCTAAAATAGGTGCTGATGATGTTTGTCATCATTCCTCACTAATGCCACTGGTAAGACCGAGCCAGGTAGAGTAAGAGCAAGTATACTTCAGTGCTAAAGTGTAGTTAGAGTTAGTTTACTTGAATGTGCAAGTGCTAACCCTTTTTTCCCAATGTAAGTGCGTTACGCCCATTTAGAAGGCAGGCTTCGACCCCGCCTGTTAGGGCCAACCCGGACTAAGA